AAGCAGCCCAACAGTGCGCGGGGCCCATTGGGTCGCCGGGAAGCGCTTTCCCGAGAATACTCACATGGGGGGAGATCGGGGCGGATACCCCCTCACTGAGCTTTTTCGTTCGTTCGGGGTACGATGTATTACCGTCCGGTGTTAACTTTTAAAATGGTCTGCGCCAACACCCGTTTGCCCGTTGTGCAAATAAAGAAAACCTTGAGCACGTCCTGTCCGCGTGCGGAAAACCCCAGGTCAGGCCCGCTATCCTGGCGCCACAAAAAAGGTGCTAAAAGAGTTAGCACCGTTGTCACCAGGCTAAATGGGGCTAACCCAACCCGTTCTATATCGTCCCCTTTCGTTCCTAAAGGCGGGGCAGTTCCAAAAGGGTAAGGTCAAAAAAAACGCATTCGCTCCATCTCGCTAGACTCTGCGAGGGACTGGTTACGGCGGTTGATATCCGGGGCATGAACGGTATCCCGATTGATCCTAAAACCGGCCTCGACCGGACATCGTTCTCCTTCTGCGCAAAAACGGAACTCACCCCTGTTGATTGGGGCCCCGTTTAGTCGCGTATGGAGGAAATCTTTTTAAGCTGGGAAAAACAGTGATTTAGCGGGTTTGGGGAAAACGAGGCTTACCAGTAGGGGTATTTGCCGTCAAAGTGGGAGCGAGGGGCCCCTGTTTCCCTGTCTAAAAATGTGTTGAAAGTTTGGATTCGCGGTAAGCGGAAACGAGCACCCCCCAAACCGGGAAGGCAGCCGAAGGGCCTCTACTGGCTGTGGCGGCGCAACAACTGGGGGGACGGGCCTGGGTGAGTGGCCCGGGGTTTGTCTAGCGGAAAATTTTTTCCCCCTTTGAAATTTTCTCGTGTAGAATTGTCTGCCAGTGCCCCTTTTCCCCAACTGCTAATAAAGTTAACATGTGTCCGTTAAAAAACCAAATAAGCTTGTCGCTCGGTCGTCCGGGCATCGGAACGGTTAATTACCTGCCGCCGGGCGACTTTTTATCCCCACGTACCTCCTTCGAAATCCCCGAAGTTCGTCTTGTCTCTGGCCGAATATCCCATCCGGTAATCTGTGGCAGCGGGGAAGCAGCCCTGAGCTTTCTGAATCAGGTGTTTTGGGCCCACCTCCGAATAACGTTTAGGAATCGTGGCCGAACGTGTGTCGAAAGAGTATGAATTTCTACTGATGACTGTAGATCCCCGCTGTACTTGCTCCCTGTGAGTTTATTCTTATTGTGGTGGTCAGCATCACACTGGAATTATTCCTCAAATAGTTGTATAACTATCTTTATCATTGTTCTCTTGGGGGGGGGGGGGGGGGGGGGGGGGGGGGGGGGGGGGGAAGAATCTATATTTGTTGACATCTTTATGTGGGTTTCAGGTCCCCATTGTGGGAAAAGCAAGAATAGACCCACTGCCTCCCCCAAAAAGCGTATCGTAAGACTAATTGGGGGTTTCCTGCAAAGTTGGAGTGCATCTGCATGAGAAGCAAGGAACAAGCAGTCTGCATACAAATGAGCCGGCTCTGAAAAATGGATGTCATGCAACAATGAGGTTCTGGAGCAAGACTGAAGTTCAGAGATGGATGAACAGCCAGAACTTTCTGCCAGAGTTTACAGCCAGTGAATGCAAAGAGGAAGAAAATTGATAAATATGTTTCAGAGAATTAATTTAAGTAATTTTACTTTTAACAGTTTTGCTATTCCTTCAGCAGTTACATGACCCAGGTACATTACATTACAGTTTTACTATTTTCTGTTTTACTACTCCTTCAGCAGATGCATGGCTCTGGTAACTGGCCACACACTAAGTACATTAAATTACAGTTTTACTATTAACTGTTTTACTACTACCTCAATAGGCACATGGCCCTGGTAACTAGTCACACACTTAGGTACATTACATTACAGTTTTATTATTGACTGTTTTACTACTCCTTCATCAGGCACATGGTCCGGGTAGATGGCCACTCATGTGGTATGCCCCTGAATGTTTGTACTATCACAAGTTTGATTCCAAGTCGGATGTATGGAGTTTTGGTGTCACCTTGTGGGAGATTATGTCCTTTGGAGCAAGACCCTATGATGTAAGTTAGTATAATGCATAGATGCATTGTTGGCACCTTTCAATCTTTCCAGACAATAATGTTATATTGTGCTATATATAGGGAAGCATCTGAATCACAGCCAATGGAGGATGACAGATGTGACTCACGTGACATGCTGACATTAAGAAGTCTTTCACGTCAACAGTTAGAGCATGGGATGTCAGGACCATTGTTGCCATTGCTTGGTTTAATTTAGCCACACTTGCTTATGTACCTTTCATTTGCTTGTAATTTGATTTACACTTTGTAGTAATGTAATGACTTTTCTCATTGAAACCACTGTCTCCTCAGCTTTCTGCTTTAACTCTAGCATCTGTTTCTTCTTCTTGAGTAATATGAGCTATTGTTGAATGTGCTTCTTCTCAGTCAGTCAGCTCTGAACCAATCTGCAATCATTTCCTCCTTTACCTGGATTCCCTTCCTGATTTTTCCCTCTGCATTCAGCAGAGTCCATAGCATCTTGTTCCCACCTGAATAGGTATATCATTTATGTTCAACTTGCATGCATCTTCATATCATATTAGAGGCCAGCCTCGACATCTACCCATCAGTAATTCAGCCTGGAGGATATCTTTAGGGACTCTGTCATCCTTTATCCTCCAGGTGTGTCCCAGCAGTCTGAACATTTGAAGACTGAGCACTGAGAAAACTGTGGTGATACCTGGTCTTTTCAGTATCTCAGTGTTTGTGGTCTTTACAAAATATAATAAAACTCACATATACACACATGTATGCACACACCACACACATGGAAGAAGAGAGAGACTGAGAGAATCAGAACAAGAAAGACTAAAAGAGTGAAGCAAGGAAGACTAAGAGATATAGACTAAACATGAAAGAGATTTAGAGAAACAAACACTGAGATATAAAAGGAGAAAGATTAAAAGGGAGAGACTAAGAGAGAGACTGAAACAGACAGAGTGAGGGAGAAATAGAGAGAGTTGACATACAAGTTAGCAGGTGTGTGACTGTCTCATATTTTGATGATGATAATTGAAATCTAGACTTTTATTAATGTGATATTTGAAAAGACAAATGCCTTGGTTATATTACAGAGAAAGAGACCACAAGAGATCTTGAATTTTATTGAATCTGGAAACAGACTGCGCAAACCTAAAAACTGTGATGACCGACTCTACAACATTATGTTGTCATGCTGGGCACTCGAGTAAGTTTGGTGTAAGAGACCAATTCTTTGCATTTTTATGTAAACAGAAAGAGAGACTTTCAGGTGAGCACTGAAGAGAGTCCGTGGCTAAGGCGTTGCGAGTCCGACTCGTGAGCCAGCATACCGCGATCGAAACCCACTGCAGGCTGCGTGGATTTTTGTCGTGGTATGGGACGTCGCAGGTCGACCCAGCCTAAAATGGGTACCAGGATGGGCTGTCCTGGGAAAGTAAAGACAGCCGGCGTAATGCTGACCACATTACCCACAGAGTGCTGATGGTCTGTAAAAATATGGGACGCTCTGCCCGTATGCCCGATGCGCCGAAAGGCGTGAAAAGGGATCTTTACTTTTTTTTTTTTTTTTTTACTGAAGAGAGTGACATTATGTGAAGGACCTGCTGATAGATTGATTGATTTTAGGCTGCGCCAACCTGGAAGCCCAAATGAATTATCAAAAATGTGACTCAGTATGGAATGCACACTTCTTCTGCCCTTTATCTCCCAGTGTGACTTAGAATAGGACATAGACCCTAACCGCCTCACATCAAGTTATCCTAATGCTTACTGAGTCTTCTTCTTCTGCCCTTTATCTCCCATTCGGACATAGACCCTAACCGCCTCACATCAAGTCATCCTAATGCTTACTGAGTCTTCTTCTTCTGCCTTTATTTGTTTTTGTTTTGTTCAGGAAAATTTCACAGAGGTAGCCAATGGTTCTTGAGCAAATTTAACCTTTTCACCTTAGTAAAGTTAAAATAAAAAAAAACTTTTGAACTTGAATGCTACAGATAGAATCTTAGAATAATATTCACCAAAAAGAAGAAAAACGTTGACATCCCACATGACGTGAACATCAAGGAGAACTGGCTAGTAAACACAATCCTCTCCTGAAACCTGACATTTTTTTGGGCATATCAAATGCCATGGTGGTCTGGAGAGAAGGGTGATAGAGGCTGCAGTTTCCGGAAAATGAGGCAGAGGCTGATCAATGTGAAGTTGGATATAGAATATTGAAGATGCATTGGCTGTAAAAGCACACAGGGTTGTAGAATTGGCTAGAAAAAGAGAGACTTTCAGACGTGCCGTGAAGAGAGTGACATTCTATAAAGGACATTCTAATTGATGGAATATTTAAAAAAAAAAAAAAAAAATTAAATGGGACATGACCTGGTGGGTTAAGAACTAACACAAAATTCATAAATACTGCATCCATATCTCCAGAAGCCAGTGCAGTGTTCCAGAGCTAGTCATGTCAGTAGCCATCTGATTCTCTGTTCATAGAGCCTTTCTTCTGATGAATGTCAGCCAGATGCTCTGTTCACTCTCTGTTGCATCATTCTGTCCACACTGTGTTGATCTATTTATTATAGGCTGAGCAGTTAAGAATGCTAAGCTCTCATATGGAAGACCTAGGTTTGAATCCTTGGTGTGTTATTAGAAGCATTTTCTTTCAGGGGCAAAGGACAAAAATCCTAACTTCACAGTCCATGGTGACTGCACTAATTCCTCAGGCTCAAGACTGTCCTCAGGGGGGGGGGGGGGCCTTACTGTCCTCAGAGGGGGTTCTGACTGTCCTCAGGTGGGTCCTTACTGTCCTCATGGGGGTTCTGACTGTCCTCAGGGGGGTCCTGACTGTCCTCAGGATGGTCCTGACTGTCCTCAGTCAGGGGGGTCCTGACTGTCCTCAGGGGGTCCTGTGTCCTCAGGGGGGTCCTGACTGTCCTCAGAGGGGTCCTGACTGTCCTCAGGGGGGTGCTGACTGTCCTCAGGGGGGTCCTGACTGTCCTCAGGGGGGCCCTGACTGTCCTCAGTGGGCCCCTGACTGTCCTCAGGGGGCCCCTGACTGTCCTCAGGGGGCCCCTGACTGTCCTCAGGGGGGCCCTGACTGTCCTCAGGGGGGCCCTGACTGTCCTCAGGGTGGCCCTGACTGTCCTCAGGGGGGCCCTGACTGTCCTCAGAAGGGTCCTACAGGCTTTCTTACATTCTCTAACAGGCAATTAAGACAGTCTAACAAATTTGGGAGAAAAAAGTTCGGTTTTTTTCTGTGTTTTTCATGTGCTTTTAGAAGGCGTTGACTAAATTTACCTTATCACGGGAGGGAATTATGGAGGTCCGCAAATTAGTTTGAAAATATATGGAAGCTGTGTTGTCTAAAAGAATAATAGGAACACAATGGACAGAATGAAAAGTGCAGTGAAGGTTGACAAATATTAATTGCAAAGCGAACTGATTAAATATTTATCTCCTGCGGGGACTTGGGGCCTATTTTGGGAGAAGAAAAAAAAAGACCTGATTCCTCTTAGGCATGTCATCTTATTTCTCTAGTCTCTTTATAGACCCTAACCATCACAGTCTATTAGTCCCTGAAGTTGCCAACAATTAATGGTGAGTTAAAAAAAATTATGAATTTTGTTTTTGCCTTACTCAACATTTGATAGCATCTTATAAGTGACTATATCTATTTTCAGAAAGGGGAAGAGACCGACTTTCCGAGAGATGAAACCAACTTTGGACCACCTATATAAAGAATTCAAGATCACTAATATGTGACCTGACATTTCTTTTGGCCTTAATGTGAGATATTGAAGAGCTTTCAGCAATTATTGACAGCTTATTTATGTTTGTGTGTATGTGTGGTTTTTATTTAAATACACTGCCTGCGTTTCTAGATCTCAGATTTGAGCTGTTTATAACCACCTTCATAACCCCCCCCCCCCCCCCCCCCCCCCCCCCCCCCCCCCCCCCCCGCCCAATAAAAAGATTAAAATGTTTCTTTATTCAAGGGTTTTAAAGGGAAGGGTGGATATACTTGATAGGTAATTATTATCTCTGAGGACAGAGTATATGACTTCAGCATGTGTTTGTTAACTTCTAGACAGATTCCACTCAGGGTGACAGGTGCTGCTTACCCAAGTCTAGATACATTTTTTTCATTTTTTCTCTGTGTGATTATTATTACCTGCTTTAGAATAATATTATTATTATTATTTTTTACTTTTAAGTAATTACCGGAATTGTTTAAACTTCACTTGCATTTTGCAGCTACAGGTACCCCACCAGGACATCACACAAGCAATAAACACCCGGTGACAGATAGTGCCACCATGCGGATGAGGATCACCCGTGGTGAGGTCCCAGAAACTTCCTTCAGCCATTAGGTCATATTAATGGCCCGGCTATATTCAGGGCCCCCGTCAGAAGCCAGGGTGGGGCTTCAAATTTAAAAAAAAAAAAAAATTTGCATCCCACATGGGGACGACTTAGAACGTATAATGTAGCTACACTGTTCACTTTACAGTCGTTATATTGTTTGTTTTTAGTGTTTGTCCATTTATAAGCTTATCAAATAACATTTTTAGGAGCCAAAATGACAGATGTGCCAGAAATAATTATTTCTGTATCTTGTTCTAATGCTATAGTCCAGCTTGTATAATGTATTCTTGGACTGTTTGGATACCAGGGACAGTTCATGAGCTTTTCTTGTTCTTCTTAGCGTTCACCTGCTGTAAATAGAAAAATTATGACTGTTCATCCACTTCTGACTTTAGTCTTGTTTTGGAGCTTGAGTTTTGCTATCTATTTGACACATCTGGCTTATTTGTATGCAGACTGTTGGTTCCTAGCTTCTCAAGCAGATGCACTTTGAAGGAATGCATCATGCCTTGATGTATAACTCATTTAACCGACCTCTGATACCAGCAGAGATAAGTCTGGTGGGCCACCAGACATTTATGAAAATCTATAAGTTTGGTGGGGCATCAAACATTTATGAAAGTCTATAAGTTTGGTAGGGCATCAAACATTTATGAAAATCTATAAGTTTGGTAGGGCATCAGACATTAATGAAAATCTATAAGTTTGGTAGGGCATCAAACATTTATGAAAATCTATAAGTTTGGTAGGGCATCAAACATTTATGAAAATCTATAAGTTTGGTAGGGCATCAAACATTTATGAAAGTCTATTTCTATTTAATTAGGCATTTATGACAAATTGATGATTATTTTTCTGTTTTGACAAGAACATATTAATGTGTGTGTATGTGTGTGTGTACTCACTCACACACACACACATACACTTTAAAAAGTTAGTTGCGCATCCTTTACAGGACATTGCAGAACCAACCCCAGCAATTTTTGGCGTCGTGGTTTTTCTAGGCAAATTTACATCCAATAGTTTGCCATTGTTTTCTGGACATTTGGCCTCTCAATACCACTGTCAAAACCAACGTAGGCGCGCACCTGGGATCAAACCCCCCACCCGGCAAACAAAGTGCGCTCCAGTGCCTGAGCCACAGACACCGATACATAATACACACACATTATGTTTATACTAACATATATGTGGACCTTCACTTATTAAAAAAAAATATATAGATATATATAATTAAAAAAACGTACTGTCATTGTATTTAATTTTTCTAGTGTATAAAATCCGACACTTCTATTGATTTTTCCCCACTGTGATTCCGAGGCCCCATTTTGGGGGACACAATAAGTGACTCCCTGCTCCCCTAATACACCTGTTGTAAAAGTCTTTTTAATCAAAGGTGATTCCTTTGAAGTCCAGGGTGCATCTGGCTGACAACCAACAGTTTGCATACAAATAAGCCACATCTGTAAAATGAATGTGCTTGCAAAACTCAAGTTCTGCAACAAGACTGATGAAGTTCAGAAGTGGGTGAATGACTAGAACTTCCTGCTGGAGTTTACAGCTAGTGAATGCATGAAGAAGAAAAAGAAATTTTTTTTGTTTTTAATTTTCTTTCTGTTTAACTTACATGTACTGAAATTTACTGCATGGAAATATCAGTTGCAGATAATGATCTTGTCTGTTGGCAACATTCCATATATCTAGACTAGTGATTCTCAGTTTTTAATTTTTTTAATTATTTTTTTTGTAAAAATATTTTTAATAATCCTGTAGCCATTTTGAGAATTAGTGTTTATTGTGAAGGATTTTCTATAAACTATGTCTTACAAGTAACTGGTTTTTCCATTGGTTAAAGGATTTTCTATAAACTATGTCTTACAAGTAATTGGTTTTTCCATTGGTTAAAGGATTTTCTATAAACTATGTCTTACGAGTTAATGGTTTTTCCATTAGTTAAAGGATTTTCCCTAATCTATGTCTTACAAGTTATTGGTTTTTCCATAGGTTAAAGGATTTTCCATAAACTATGTTATACAAGTTAATGGTTTTCCCATTAAAGGATTTTCCCTAAACTATGTCTTACAAGTTATTGTTTTTTCCACTGGTTAAAGGATTTTCCATTAACAATGTTTTACAAGTTAATGGTTTTTAAGAACTAATGTTACTGAGTGGAGGAAGAACGGTGTAGATTGAAAAGGAATGTAAAGTAAAGAGATACTTAAACCACCAGACAGTGTTAGTGTCCATGCAGTGAAACTGTATTTTGAAGATTTTAAATTGTACCATAATAGGCAATTTTTTCCTCAGTTACCAGTTTATATATGGTGTTGACAAAACTTGACCGTACATGAAAACTTCTGAAATTCAACGAATCATACTATGAAGAAAAAACAATGCTACTTTGTGGTCTTAATTTTTTTTAATTGATTTATTTTCCACAGAGCTCCTGGGATGGGCATGAAGAGCCTTTAGAGCTTTTGCGGAGCACTGGTTAGGAGCACTGATCTAGGCGGTTATGTTGTTTTATACTGTTGGAACCTTCTCTGTAGAGCACATAGCCTGGTTATTATTGTAGAGACTATTTTGACAATGCAGCCTGATTCCGCTCTCTGCCTGCTTTGTTTACTCCAGAGGAAAGGTAACATGAATATGCTTGAAACAAAGCCCAGGCAGAAGCTGCTAGACCAAAAAAGCTGTGCTCTCAGTCCATCTTTACACTTGTTATGGAGAAGATGAATAGGTGACGCCCTGGTCATGGGCTTTGAATCCCTAACATTGCTATGGTACACTTATTTGTTGATATCTTTTCTATTGTCTAGACCTATGTTTCCCACTTTTTTTGTTTTTCAAACTCTGGAGATATTTTTACAATTGTGCATACTGAGTGATTTGATGAATATGCTCAACAAAATCCAGACTGGCTTTATCAGACATGAATTGATTCTCATTAAATGCATCACAAATAATTCGCCTAAGCTTTATCTTTGTGCCAGGCTATGCGGGTGTTCACGGCAATGAGTGTGCAGATTATCTGGCAACAAGGCAGTTACCACGACTGGCCTGGCACTGGACAGGAATGATGTCATGCGAGCTGCATATCACAGCAAGCAGGATTCAGTATCCTTGTCCAGGTCAGTGGACAAGAAGTGCAACCTGAAGTAGCCAGATATGAACATTTCACAAGGGGCACAAGGCATCTGGTTAATCAACACAGAACGGGCAGGATCAGTCATTTTACTCTTGTGGAGCTATTGAAAAGGAGATCGGAGCAACTATGGATCTGTCCGGAGTGCTGTGATGATAGTCCTCTCTGATCTCTATAGCACAGTGGAATACCATCATCTGGAAGGACAGAAAAGTGTCAACAATCAACAAGTCAGTTAGGAACTCAAGTTGCAGCAGTGTCTTTAACATTGCCACAGGGTCTTTAACATTGCCACAGGGTCTTTAACATTGCCACAGGGTCTTTAACATTGCCACAGGGTCTATAACATTGCCACAGGGTCTTTAACATTGCCACAGGGTCTTTAACATTGCCACAGGGTCTTTAACATTGCCACAGGGTCTTTAACATTGCCACAGGGTCTTTAACATAGCCACAGGGTCTTTAACATTGCCATATTTCTATAGGAAAAAAGTAAAGGACTCTTTTCCATGCCTTCAGGTGTACTGGGAGTATCGGGCTAAACCTGTATTTTATAGACTAGTCAGCACTTGGTGAGTGATGGGGTCAGCATCTTGCTAGCCGCCTTTACTTCCCAGAACTGCACATGGTATCCACCCAAGGCTAAGGTCATTTTTGAAGAAAAAAAGGTCCAGCTACGTCAGGACCTTGACCCATGACCTTCCGATTCGCAGGTGAGCTTCTAGCTGCTACACCATGGTGACTCCCTCATGCATATGGAGTCCCCTATATGTTAGTTGTATTTGAGAAAACTAGAACCCTTATGCATTACTCTATGGCAGGGCTATTCAACTGGCGGCCCGCAGGCCAAATCTGGCCTGAGGAGGTCTGGCAAGTGGCCCGTGGATCATTGCTAGTTATCATGTAATAAAGATCTTTCTATGCTTGGACTTGGACCTCTGGCCCGTGTCGATCCCCATTTTCAAAATTTTGGTCCTTGAGTAAACAAAGTTGAATATCCCTGCTCTAGGATCAAAGCAAAGAATAAATACTTCGATCTCAGAATTAAAATTTCACTTGTGATTATTTATGCAACATGAACTAATTGGGAAATACTTCCCACTCAACACCAGTATTTGATTGTGTTAAATACATCTCACGTTTTATCAATTCTGCCTAATTTGTTTTTCTTTGTCTGTCCGCCTCTGCCTCTCATGCACTCACACACACATATATATATATATATGGGTGTATGTATGCGCATCAATACTTT